ATCCAGGACATTTCTTTAATATAAACCTCTCAGGACATGAAAAGTTGTGAGCCTTCAGTCCAGCCTTCCTTCTTTCTGTCGGCTGTTATTTTAATATCAAATAAACCACAGAGCTTCCTTAAAACATCTGTTAAATATCTGCAAGTTTTGCACTAATAAAAGATCAAGAGATTGCTTTTGTATTATTTGTATTAATATTGATTAGTAAACAGAGACTTCTGAAATACAAGCTGCTGGAGAGAACCAAGGTTATCTCTAAGACGTGTGCTATCAATACATTTTTATATTTTTTCTATTACAGACCTTTTATTGCGATTAAAGTGGATGTTCAGTAAAGCAGCAGGAAGTAACCTTTCAGTGAGATCAGTATGAAAAGGGATTAGTATTGACAATTTCGAATACAGGGCTGTTGGTGAAATGTAGCATGTACCAACTCAGTGGGAACCCATCATCATTGAATATCGATGTGAACACTGTGAACACATTAGCTTGGGGGTAGTTGAAAAAAGTAATTGAGCAAATGATAAAGGGGTGGACATGGCAACGGCTTCACTAATGGGGACGTAGACTTCATTCTCCATCACAGCGTGGAGAAGGGAGAGAGAAAAAAGTAACGGGACCATTCAGTGTCCGTGCTGCTGCGTTATACACAATTCAACACGAGCTGTAAAATGATGATGAACAGTGCTGCCGTCACACTGGAAATGAATAATTCATCCAAATGTAAACCCTCAAATGTATGTTTAGGAAGCTATCTTCCACACCAGGAGCTTCCGTATCACTAACAAATGTCTAGATATGCACATCAGAAAACGCTTCGCCCCCTCTGTTCCCGCATGCCCTTCAGTCTCTCAGAACTTGATTCCTTTGGTTTGATGTTGTCTTCAAGGAATCAGCTGGCTCATTTTTGAAAATATCTGTCAAAAGTATGGAGATAGGGCAATGTAGGTAGACAGAATGTAAAAGACCTTTCTAAAGGAGTTAATGTTGTCAGAACCGCTATCCATATATACTAACTCTGTATGTTGCCTGAAACAATAGTACATTAATTAGACGTTAATTGGTAAATGGTAATAATTAACAATAGATGTCACAGTTATTATTTCCAAAGTTTAGCTGAACTTTAAAAACTGGCTCAAGTCTTCAGTGCCATAAAGACAAACGGATCTCACAGCAGATTCAGATATTAGTATTCATTTCCTTTTCTTATTTTCAGCATCACTACATTTATGTTTTGCCCATGGTGTATGCATGTGCATGTGCTGCTGCCATTTAGTGCATGTGGGCTTGTTGTGGCTACAGCAGCTACGATCGTTACACATCCTGCTGCCCTGACGATGTGTCTTCCCTTTTGAAGTTATGCTAGTGGCAATGTTTGTATTGTGTGCATCTTTCCTTTTTTTTAATGCACACACCACTTAAATCATCAAGCTTCCTTGGAAGGCTTTTTTAAAAATATGGCCCCATTGCAGAGAGACAGCTGCTTAAACCAATTTGGCAAGTTCAGAATAAGCCTTTGATAGTTTTTATTTATGTTGCAATCAACCTCTTTTCTTTAATCTGTAATCTCAGTTTGGCTGCTGTCTCCTCCACTCTTCTTCCCCTTCACATTCACGTCACACGAGTAACTCCCATAAATGCATCAGGACAGTAAAGTTTATTCAGAGTTTTAACATAAGCTAGACTGAGAGCACACACCAATCTTATGTCACAGTTAGCCTTAATAGGTTTCTTTTGTATGAACACACATACAAAGAGACTCTCTTCTGATGGTCATCTTCTGAGTCTTTTCACAGTGTTGCTTCCTGAGTATGTAATCATCTCACTACACATGTTTCCGTCTGCAAACCACAGATGCTCAGATTCATTTTTATACCACAATAAATCCAGTTCAAAAGAAATGAGGGAACGCTGTTTTCAATTCCTGCAACAGCCTCTCTGAAAATCAGAGGGCCGTGGCAAATGTGTGTTTCAAGGAAAGCTCAAAAAATGCAGCCCCTTTGTAGTATTGCCAGCTCGGTGGATTTCACTGTGGCCATAGTTCTAACGGAGACGGGGCTCAACAGGTTTGAGCACCGCACTGAAATTTACAGATACTCCGTGGGCCAGCTAGGACCACTTTTCACTGCGTTATATATGACCATCATGGAGTAAGTTAGCATCTCTGTCTTTTGAAGGAGGGGATGAATGAACACACAAGTTTCTCCCTATCATGGCAGGATGAAATCTGTGATGTGGATGCTTTCATGGTGGAATGCAATGAGTCCCTGTCTAAGAGAAGTTAAAAAGAAAAGAAAAGAAAAGAAAGACTGACCCGTGAAAGGACAGAAAGAAAAAATTAGATTTTGACTGAGGCTGTATGCTTGTTTTGCGCTGGACCAGGCTACACCAATTAGCTTCCAACGCTGGATTTACTCTTTGTACTGTTATATTGTAGTGCACAATGATTGTCCACTGTTCCAATCTTGCCATTACATTGTTGTAAGAGCTCAGGAATATTTAACAGATTTTTTCTTTTCAACTATTGCATACTCATTTTAACCTAAATACCAAAACGCTATTCCAGAGCCTAACAATACAGCATAATGAGCACTGCTGCTGGCATCTACTGTGAGGCAGTCTTAAGGCTTTCAGTAGTGCCTTTGGTGGGAGTATGGAGTCATTTTAATCATGGGCAGTGGGTGACGTGATTCTCAAGCAGCCTAGAGGTAAAAAAAAAAAAAAAAGAGCTACATATAATCCAGCTGTCTAATCGCTGGCGCCCACCGGCTCTGCCAAAGTGCCTGCAGCAAGGTACCAAACCTCCACCAGCTCTAGGCGTGATGATTTATGGCCGACCCCTCCGCACAAACCTCCCTGCAGAAATAAATAAATCATCATCAAATGTGTGTGTGCTTGGTGAGGATAATGTTGAGGCAGGTCCAAGACTTGTCTCATGTGACATTTTCTGAAGAAGTTGAAGCCAACATATGATAATGTTCAAGTATAGCAAGACTTCAAACATTTTTTTTTCTTTCTCCATAGTTTGGATTTCTTTGGAAGGTTTGCTGAGCTTTAGCAGCATTACCCTGTTTCATTTTCATTGTTACACACATTGTCAACCTCAAACCTCTCCTTTAATGGTTGACCTTTGCTGACAACACTAATTTGACATGTTCTCACAGCAAAAATGGCTGCCGGTCACTGGTCAACAGTGTCATGTGATTGTGTTTTCGCTTAAGTGTATCCTTTGTATTCCAATCCTTCCAACATATCTTCTTTCACTGCAACTTGCTGCTTCTCTGTCTTACATAGATGTCAAGTCAGACCAGCGTTACTTTTGAAATCAGTTTGACCCAGCTCAGTTTAGTTTGGACTTGGCTACTGTCAATCACCAAGCAGGTGAGGTTCAAAACACCAGGACTGCTGTGAAAGTGAACAGAAAAAACTGTGTTTTCACCGTGAATGTACGTGAAAGAACCAAAAACATTTCACAGTACGGATCCCCGATTTTTGCAGCTGTTACCTGTCATCTATGAGTATCAGCCGATACCGATTATTTTATTTTTGGCATGAATTGCAGATGGCGTATGTTATATCAGTCTCACACACTTTGTAAAAGTTGCACATGGCCGACATGTTGTTGTGTTTTGTTTTGTTTTGGTAGCCTGTCACATGCCAGTGCATTGAACAGGGTGGAAGGCAGGACTACACTACACAGCAGTGCTTCTCTCAGCCGCAGCCGCCAGAGTATTAACCACAGGCGATGGGTGACTAGAAGCATTAATTCTGATCTACCGGTTCCCATATTTTTTTATGAAAATCGGAAGATAATGATCGGCGGCCGAACAGTCGGGGGAATCCATAATGCACACTGTTGATCACTTGTACTCACTTCATTAACAGTGTTTCAGTTTTGCATGACGAAGGTCAGGGGACCAAAATGGGGGAAAGTGAGTACAAGTGTGCAGTGTGCCGGGTTTTATGGTTCTTTCACAGTTAGAGTTTAAATCCACTGCACCTGTACATAAGTGGAGTGGTGCACAGCTTTGCAACACTCAAGGTCATGACATAATTTATGGAGACACACAAGCCCCACTACTCCCACTGAACCTTCCATTGGTGGTTCTGAATCTGGAACTTCAATACTAGAGTAAACCTCAGCCTTCATCTGTCACACTGAGCGCAGTTAGCTTTGGTGCATTAGCATCGTCCCACGCTCCTGACTATGGGCCATGTATATTGTATGAGTATGTAACCTACATCTATCCCTGATCACACAGGTGTAGTGTGCAGGGTTTAATGGTGTCCAGGAAGGTGTTTTGTGGTGTTTAGTCAATTTATTCCGCTGTCGGAAGAGATCAGAGTCCTGCTGATTTCACTTGGTGTTTAAATTCTTAAAACTGCTTCTAAAATGGCTGCCAGAGGCTTGGGGGTGTGTGCTCTTCAAATCGGTGTTCAAAATGTGTTAAGGGGTGTAATAGTAAAACTATAATGGAGGTTTTATTAAGGTCTGAGCAGGGTGGTGTAAAACATTAGCTAATACATTTCAAGTATTTCATGGAAGATATGTTTAATTTATGTTATCTGGCAAACCCAACGTTCACTTTTGAGGTTGTTAACCTGCATAACATTATTAATTAAAGTAAAGTCATGGTTTTATGGAGCTTCAATAAAAGTTGTACGGAGATAAAGAGAAACAGAGAGTTAGCGAATCTATAAATGAGACTTTGAGGTTGAGAAACTCCCACTACTGAGAGTGAGTGGGAGGTGTTAATGTTGGGGTTTACTAATGCAGCATAATGATCCCAGTGGTGAGGGAAATTTAAAGCAAGCTGGCCAAGGAAAAATGTCATTGTTGCAAGGCTGCAAGAGGAACGCTCATGAATAATTTTGCAAAGCATCTTATTTAACTGACAGAATATTCAGTGAAGCTGATCAATCCTTAACTTCACAGTTTTTGCTTTCTGTTTGACAAAAAAAAAAAATGTTTGTGGTTTCTCTCTCTTTCTGTGTCCCAGATTCTAATCGGGGAAGTGACCAGTTTCTTTGTGAAGACAGAGGGAGCCCAGGAGAAGACCATAGTGACCGCTGACTGCTGCTATTTCAACCCTCTCCTCCGTAGGATCGTACGTTTTCTGGGTCAGTCAACGTCCTAAAGATCAGAGGTTCTTTAGATTTGACTAATAGAGCCCCTGTACTCTGGAGTCAAGGCTCATTAAGACTTGCACCAGCACTCCTCTGTCATGCAGGATGTGGACTGGGCAGAAAGAGCTCTTGTCTTTAGTTTGGGGACCGTGGACTAATTTCCTTTGCCTTTCTCTTTATGTCCTGTTCTGTTGATGTTCTGTTATCTTTTTCATCATCTCTGTAGCCTGTATTTATCCAAGTTATGAATCTTTTAAAGTGACACACTGAAGTTAAGAAGCAAAAAAGCAAGGGCTATGTCTGTCTGGCCTTTCACTCCCACACAGGCAGCAGGCAGCGTACCCATTTTAATTCCCATCTGAATGCTTGTTTCTTTCGCCACTCTCATTGATTCTTATGCACACACTCCCTCTCTCTCTCTCTCTCTCTCTCTCTCACTTCCTCTCTTTTACACACAGGTGTCTACTCCTTTGGCCTCTTCACCACCACCATCTTTGCCAATGCTGGTCAAGTGGTGACAGGAAACCAGACCCCTCATTTCCTGTCTGCCTGCAAGCCAAACTACACAGCTCTGGGCTGCCAGTCTCCGCTGCATTATATCACAGAGCGTCGAGCCTGCACAGGAAACCCATACCTGGTGGCGTCCGCCCGAAAATCCTTCCCTTCCAAAGACGCAGCTCTCAGCTTTTATTCAGCCATCTACACAGTGGTAGGAAACGAGTTTGGGGCAATGGGTGAAGGTGGCTGGCTGATCTCTGTCTGGTCTGGCTAGGTCATGCTGTTGGGAAGCATAATACTATATATATATATATAATACTGAATTTAAACTTCTATAAAATAGATTATTGATAAGGTCAGGTAACAATATAGACATTAAAAAATGCACTTTATATATTCAATAATTGTTGATTTTCTCCACATATGGTGGTACGTACATACTTTTAAAATTAGTTTTTCTGTGTGTGATCTCCATCAGTGAATCTTAACACAAATGACCTCTCTATTTTCTTAGATTTTTTTCTTTAATTTTCCAATGATCTGTTTTTGGATCTTTAACCAACAGAGTTTTTTATTTCCCAAGGTAAATGTGTGCATGTAAGGCTTCTCAACATAGTCATGATAATACACTTTTCTGGTTTAAACATTTACTGCAGTTATGATTTAAGTATCGCTTATAAAAAACTTTTATAAAACCTTTGTTCTCTTTTTAATTGCATTGCCATGTTTCTGTCATATTTTAGAGGCAGTAAAGAAATGATGGCGGTGTGTTATGGCGCTGTCTGCTGTGCCTCATCAGACCACTCGGCAGCTCTAAAATCACTGCAGAGTGCGGCCTCTTGTGGCTAAATTCAAGCTGTTCAGCCTATTAGGTTGTTCAAGCTGTCGCACAGTTTGAATGGTCTCAGCTGACTGACGACCTGTGGATTCAGCACCTGGTTCAGCTCACATGAAAAAATTAACACAACATTTCTTATTTCAAGTATATTTCTATCCTCCAGATGTACGTCACCCTGGTTTTCCGGACCAAAGGGACCCGTCTGACCAAGCCCACCCTGTGCCTGGTGCTGCTGTCTCTGGCCGTGCTGGTGGGAGTGGTGAGGGTGACCGAACACAGGAACCACTGGAACGACGTCCTGGCTGGGTTTGTCACCGGAGGGGCCATCGCTGCCTTCTTGGTGAGAAGGAGAGGAGGGAGGGAGGAGAGGAGTGGTGAGGGAAAGGAGGTTGGAAGAAGAGATAGATAAAATTTCAGGGATCAGATAAAAAAAAAGGTATGAGAGCAGGAAGAGATAGTGGTAGATGGGTGGAAAAGGGAAGAGAGACAGGAGGGAAACACTAGAGAGAAGGATTAGTATGATGATGGGAGAAAAATGCAAAGAGAGAGCAGTGTTGGCGTAATGTGGGGAGCAGGAGAGATGGTGGGAGGATGGACTGATGATTAAGGTGAACTGGAGATGAAATAGCCTTACTGCCTGTGTGACAGAGGACACACACACACGCGCTGTTACAACTATGAATGCGAATGGATTGAACTGAAGGCGCATTCGAATAGTCTCATTTAGTCTTGGACCTTTTGGCCTAAGTCAATTTTCCAGAAAAAAAAAACTTCTAGGAGCAGTGTTAACTTTGGAGATCAAAGTGCTGCCTGTGGTTCATCCTGAAGACTATAGCTTCCTTTCAGTGCTTCCTCCCACAATTCATTCTTCCTCTCGCTCTCTTTTATCTCTGTCTCTCTCCCTCTCGTACTGTAAGTGCCCTCTTCAGTATCTGTTTCCATGCACTCTCCGAGCAGTTCACACAACAGAAAATCATCCATCTCTGTGGTGCAGTGGAGCGAATCTCTCCCCTCCTTTTTCATTTTACCTCCGCTCTATGCCCTCCATCAGGTGTCATGTGTGATCAACAATTTTCAGCCAACCCAAATAGCAGTGGCGACTCCTCCTCCTGCACAGCGTCCAGAGCCCTCCATCGGGCTCCCTCTCCTCAGCCTGCCCCGTGTGGAGAGTCCACTCGAAAAGTTAAGTGGCCTCCAGGTAAGGGAGTGGGGGACATTGATGAAATAGTTTAAATGATTAATAGAATATGTGTGCTTGTGATTGTTTTAAATGGGAGGGTTTGGCAAGGCAAATATATATATTGAAATATGTTGTCTGAATGTTTCCTACGCGCTTCTCTCTGTCCGATATCTGTTGTGTGCACCCTTTCTCTTCTCTAGACATCGTCATTCTGCAGTCTTGTCTCGTACCGTTTCAGTCAAGTCGAGTTTATCTTCTCTATTCCTTCAGGTTTCTCCCAAATGTTTTCAAATGTTTTCTACTCTTTCCTTCCCTCCTTCTCTCTCTCCTAAACTTCGCTCTTTCCTTTTCACAACCTGTTAGGCTCCAGGGCTACCGTATTCTGAGATCACATGACCATCAGCCAATCCCTTCCCCCGCCCCTCCCGATGTTCTCCTCCCCTCACGGCGTTGCCTCACCAGCGCAGTCTAGACCTGCCCTCTGAATGCCCCCCGCCCTGCCCCGCCCACCCCAACGGACGACATCCTCTCCGACGAGTCAAATCAACCCAGGTGTGAAGGTCCACCAGTAACAGGAAACGGGACAGCGACATGTGCACATGGCGAGCCTGGCTGAAACCTGTCATTCGCTAAGGACCAATAGGAGATGGAGACTTGTCCTTCTGTCCTGTTCTGCCCTGTTTGTCCTCCAAGATGGCCTCCCTTTTCTTTTGGGTGTAAAAGACCCAATGAAAGACTTGCCAAAGCCAGAGCTGTTGAAGCAATACTGTGTCCTACTCCCCTGTCCTTTTTTTCCTCAACAGTGACTTTGAAGACTGTTGGCTGGTGAAAACTTGATAAAACACTTCATCAAAACAAAAAAAAAAACCTCAGCTGAGCTGAGGGTTTGGGGATGGAAGAAAATCCCAGTCACATGTGGATCGTCCTCAAAAGACCATTTTCTAACACTCAGGACAATTAAAAAAAACACAGGACAAGATTAAAAACAAAGACCTTTATGTAATGAAAATGCAGGTACCATCGAGTAGTATGGTACAGAATTGTTCCTGTCCTAAAAAACAAACAAGAGACGCTGTCAAAGAGGAAAGCACTTTTGTCAGTTATAGCACAGGTGAACCAATTTAGTGTTCAGGAAACTGTGTTGTATCTTATTAGTTTCGGGGGGATATTGGTTTGATCTCTTGCTGTATATTGTGTGAAGTGATATTAGGGACATTTACACACACTAGAGCTGTGCTTGTGATACCACATTTGTTTTGGAGCATCAGTTAATTCATCCCTGTAGTGAACTGAACTGGATTTCCATCAACCTTCATCAGATGGACATCTTTTAGCTACTTACTATTCAGTCTGTGTGTGTGTGTGCGTGCGTGTGTGCGCGCGTGCGTGCGTGCGTGCGTGAGTGCATGTGTTGTAATTGTCCGTAGTTCTCCGTCCACGCTGTGAAATATTTGGAAAGTTCTATCAATTTGACTTTGACTGCCTGTTCTCATGCGGAGATCTTTGTCAGTGTTAGTTTCCACACAGTTCACCTTCTCCTGTTTCACTTCCACCCTTTCATGCTTCTTTTTTTTCCCTTTTAAATGACCTCTATCTAAATACAGGACACCAATACGATACGTCTTAAATCCATGTCACACGCAAATTGTGTTTCCAAAATGAATGTGTTATAAGAGTGGTAATGACATCAGTTTGCTACTGTTTATGCATCTGTCCTGTCCAGTTTGTCTTTGTTTCCCCCGCTTCAGTCCACCATCATTTCCTCACACCGTCTCTATAAATCCAATGGCGAAGACCAGTGTATACCACAGAGGTAAGATCTCTGAGTTTTGTATAGTTTTGTACAGTAAATAGGTTTCTTTACGCAGTATATACAACATTATCATTATGTTTAAATTGTGTGAACAATGTGAAGCTACCTGAAGCTGTCTTTAGGAACATGAGTAGTAGCCTGATATGAAGCAGGAATGTAGCGCAGTGGAGAAGTGTGTGAAATCTTCACGGCATGCGGTCGGTGTGTTTGGCTCACAACTTGCTTTGGTTCTGCTCAGTTCACAAGGACGCTGCAGACAGGTTATACTAGTAAGAGATTACGCAGTGGGTTATATATAAAGAAGACATCGCTATGGTTTTATTAAGGGTGTGTGTGCGTGTGTGTATGTGTGTGCTTTTTCGGAAATTGTGTGTATGTTAATGATGAGCACATAGTATGGCAGCATAACTGTTAATTTGGCAATGTGTTTTCTTAAGTGAAACTGTCAAAAGGTAGCTGCTATAATTACACACTTGTGCTTGTGTGTAACTGCAGGCCTTCAAAGGACCCCTGCCAAGGCGTCCTTACAATGCCTGTTATAAAAGTAGGTGCTCATAATAGCTTTGAGATTACCTACAGTAAAACTTTTCAGTCAGATTTTTTTTTTTTTGTAAACAACTGAAGAGATAGAGAACACCATAACTGTCCAAATAATGTTATTTTCATGTTAAAATGTCTCTGTTTTGTATTTATTTACCAAAATAAATTGCAATTACCACACATTACTGCCTGAATTACATTTTTCATTTGCAAGTAAGAATTGAGCTATGATTGGCCTGCTGTGCGGAGGTAAGAAAGGGGCCAAGGTTTGAGCCCTTCTCTCAAGTTATCACTTTTGATGAGTACAAACAAGTGCAACGCTATGAATTTCCTCAATGAGCGGCTGTTTAAATATGTGTGCTGTTATCCACCTATTCAAACTAAGTTAAGTCTCCTCCATCTCTGTGAAGGCCAGCTTTTCACTCCACGTTTGAGTGTTGCCATTCGGAACAACTCCTGCTTTTCCTACCGTGAAGTGTCAAAATAGTTTTCCATGAAAAGCCCTATCTGTGTGTTTTACCGTAATAGGCTGAAATTCTGTGTTTGAAGAACTAAAACATTGGGGTTTTGTCACCATTTCATAATACTGCACGTTACATCCTGATAGTATACAATATGTTACATACTAATTTTTCAAAGCACACAGTTTTACCAGTTTGCTCACAAGATACTTAATGCACTTTAACAGTTAGCACTCACAGGAAGTGGCAGAGGAACTGCCACCTCGGATTGCTTCTGCCAATCAAACTTCACAAAGAGAACAACATGGGGTTTTTTTCACCACCATCTGCAATTTGTGTTAATTCTGTGCAGCTGTGCATCGCTCCCCAATTTCTTTTTGCACTGCATCAAGGCAAAATAGTGTCCCTCAATAGCACACTAAAAAAATCAAACAGATGTAGTATGCTTACTGACATTTTGAGTGTAGTTAATGTTGTCACTTTTCCAGTGTAAACACACTAGAATGATATGTTGTGAGGATGTGGGACACACTAATGGGACAGTACTGCCACTTAGTGGCCAGCTGGGTAATGGCAATGGAAGTGCAGATGTAAAACGTAGTATGTACAATTAGTAGCCTGTGTATAAATTGCTCAGTCTGTCATTGGTAGCACATTTGCTGTAAAAAAAAAAAAAAAAAAAAAAAGTGCTGTTAAAACTTTTAAAATGTCAAAAGATTGTGGATTTATTCCTTGGAAACCTGCAGAAATGTGTTACCAGCTCAGTTCAGAAAGTTGCAGTAGGCAGCAGGGATCACAGGGTGGCAGTGTTTACCATGCTTCACTGAGGATATGACGCGCCAACAGAGAAGCTTTTAGAATTCATCCGATTTAATGTTTGTGAAATCAAATGGCACATTAGGAATGTAAAAATATGCTAAAACAGAAAAGAGCATTTTAAAATGTTTTTCACTTGAGACCTCCGCTGGCCCACATTAGGCATTAGTCATCAAGCTAATAAATGTAATGTAATGGCACAATTACTTTGAAATGTAGACACAGGCAATTTCTCTCTTTCTTTCTCTCAATTGCCCCAATGTCTCCCCACCCTGTCTTTGTGTTCCTCTGAGTTTGTGTTTGTCAGTCTTGTTAACGACAAGACACACACACACACACACACACACACACACACACACACACACACACACACACACACACACACACACACACACACACACACACACACACACACACACACACACACAAACACACACAAACACACACACAAACACACACAGAGAACTCTCTGCACTCTCTCGACAACATTATCTTTTCCGGAAATTGCTTCTCAAGCACAGCCGGAGCCCCATTAGAAAAGAAGAGCTCTACGCTGTAACCTTTTTAAAAAGCCATTAGTGATGCACCTGCTTCTCTCTCTCTCTCTCTCTCTCTCTGTTCCTATTTGTGTGTCCTATTTGTCTCTCTTGTTAACACTGACACACACACACACACACACATACATGCATACACACGCACAGTTTCTCCATCCTGATTGCCAGCTTCCTCGTTCTCAATTCTAAAAACTGACTACTGAGCAGCAAAAGCATCCTTCCACTCCAATTAGAGTATGAATCACTGACATTTTAAAGTTCTGCCTCAGAGTGCAAAACCACTCAATTTAATTATTTATGTGTGTTATTCTAATGGCTTGTGACTGTTAAATCAGTGTTTTGGACATGAGTAATTCTCTTTCAAAGCTACATGCTGGGAAAACAAGATATTTTATAATATGTCATGTCACTACAGTGAACAGGCCGGGTTTACTCGATCAAAGGCAAATGAGGAACTAATTTTGATGATTCATACAGTGTTTGCCTAAATTTTAGCTTACTGTACAAATGAACTTTTAATTATAAATGCTGCTAACTCTTATAGAGATGCAATGTTTTTGACATAGTTATTTGATATTCAAAATCGTTTCCCTGAGAGAGCAGTGATTTGTATTTGCTTTGGTCATCATCACATTCACATCAGTTACTTTAAGTGCTGCCGGACCCAAATGAATGGGAGTGACATGGCATAATGTTCATGGCATAAACATGTATACAAGCACATGGTACATATCTTTTCAGAGCGACAGCATGTGTGGAAGAGCACATTAAATTGGTCAGTAAAATTTCATATGCAAAGAAAGAGTTGTATAAAGACTTTTTTTGGCTTCAGAGTAGGCTGCGTGATTTCTGATAAATGACCTCAAGTGATGTCACTTGAGTCAGAGTCGGCAGAGTCTGAAGACCACAAGTGTGAAAAATAGAATAAAAAATCTGGGGGCTGGAGTTGGAAAGTTTGTTTACATCTCTGCTTGATGACGTCAGCAGTAGTGTTCCATTGTGGGTGATGCAGGCGCCAGGTTTTCACAAGAATGAAGAATGTGTGGAATAAAAACGACAGTATCTCTGGTTCTGCTGCGCTGATTTCTGTCCATCATGAATCCGACAATTTTATAAGAGTACTATGTGAAATCGATGGAGTACTATTGTAAGCTCTACGTTCTCTAAGAAAAATCATTTGTTTGCATGTCAGCAAAAAAAAAGAAAAAGAAAAAGAAAAAGAAAAAACACTTTGGATCTCACTCCAAAACAAACTGCTCAAAGACTTATATTTATGTGTGAGAGGGTG